ACTTGTTTGAGTTGTTTGAATAATTTGTTGTTTGTTGTTTGATTTATAACAACTCTATACCTGAATCATCACTGTAAATAGGAAAATTCGTTGCAAGAGCCGGGTTTTGCTACTCATATGCGATTGCTCGCTGAATAATATCGCCAGAGAGTGCCAGAAGAAGATTAGGCACTAAACGAGGTAACGTTGGCATGGTCTTTAAGGTTTTAAGATTGTCACATTTCAAAAGCTGAACTGAATTTCAAACTTACCATCGTAATATTGATCAGACAGACCGCAAAAATACAGTACATCGTCACCATTTCAGTACCGTCGAGAGAAGCAGCATATAGGAAATCAACATCTCCAATAGCGGAAAGACAGGGATTTTCCTAAATTTCTGCATATGGTGATTTAAAAACTATCTACATTGTCCTAAAAATGTTTTTAATCGCTCGATATACCTTTATTAAATCCTGAAACGCTTTTGAATAGAACCCAGACTGCAGGTTGAGCTGGAAAGTCCCGTAGCCAAGCAGATATACGACGCAAAAATTATGCAAACCGACGAGTCCGAGCCACACCTCGCGACGGAATCTAAATACGGTATCAGGGAGATTTTGATCGTATACTTGATGATGATAATATTTTGTTATTTAGCATTTTTAATGCATATAACCTTGTCAATTGCTAGTACTGCTACCTCCAAGGGCTCTTTGGCGGCATTATCGTTTGGTGTTTGTAGAATAGGATTTGTATCACGGAGTCCAGCACGATCCCAATGCCGCAAGCTCCGAAAATCTGGAAGGCTTGTGTTTTTGCTTGCAGTTATCACATTAAGACACCCATTTATATACCTTAAAACTTACAAATCCCCATCGTCCGCCAAGCCCGAATACCGTATCCCAAGGCCCAAGAAGTCTAGCACCGGGAGCCGGGAAATAGACTTCAGGTACGAAGCTTAGGATTACCGCTTCATACAGGATAGAAATTGTCTATAAAGACAGTGTAAATATAGTAAAATCATTAAATCGATACCAATCACGCGGCTAGAAATATATTAAACAGTTTTTGAAGGTATTGAGGGTATTAGGAAGATTTCCTAACAATCGTCTTTCCTTTTTGGTTTTTAAGAGCGTTTTTGTCCGTTCCGCCATGCTACTATTGGATCAGAAATCCTACTATATATAAAAAAAACCAGCGCCCAAAACCCGCTTCGCGGACCTTGGGCGCTGGAATGCGGCCTTTGCATAAGAAATTTGACTTTCCAATAGCCCGGGTCCTTCGGACCCCCTCCCCCCGGCCGACCACACTCGCGAGTGCAACTTGCAAGAATGAAGAAATTTTTATTTTTTCACATTATGTAAATTACCCCCAAAAATGAGTAAAACCGGCTTTAACTTTGTAAACTTGTATTTTATCAAAATTCTGAGAGCGCCATTGGAAACAGAAGGGTCGATTCCCCCGGGTGACGAAGAATCAGAGCGTTTTATGCACGGGAAGGCCCTCAAATCGGGCCTTGAAAGTGACATCCACACACACACACACACACAGTTACACGCCAAAATTATATAAGGTAGGATAGTGTTTGTGTGTGTGTGTGTGTGTATATTTGCATGCAACTTCCGTGAGTATGTACCGCACCTACAGCCTCAGGGGAAGGTTTTTAAGGGTCGTACCAGGGTTGAAAAGCCGCTTCGCGACTTTTCAACCTGGCCCCGTGCTGGACGAGATGAAGCTTGCACTTTGCATGAATTCCATCCAACTCCCGTTAAAAAGTGAAAAATACGCTCTCTGCTCCTTTAAATAGGCTGCCGCCACTTCCGATGTATGCTAATTGATTCCTAACAAAGAGGGTCTCGGTTTTCAACAAAAACTAAAATTTAATGTCGGAAATAGGAGATTTGGGTCAATCTGATATGTGTGCAGTCATCTCCAGACCATTACGCTCCTAAGGACGTATCAAAAACGCCCCTAACTACCCTCCTTCTTGAGATACTGCTGGAACACGCTGACGGAAGTTGCATGCAAAGTGGCACACACACACACACACACACAAACACTATTTTTTTATATATAGTAGGATGATACGTCATTAGGTGCTTAATGGCGCCAAGATGAGTGCACACACATAAAAGTGTTGAAAAATTACTGTTGTCGCGATTAAACCTGAGTTTTTGTAAAGTTTTCGAAAAACCTCTTTGTTAGGGGCAATTAGCATGCACCGGAAGCTGGAAGAACCTATGTAAAGGGACAGAGGAGCCGTCTTCACTTTTTTCTTGCTTGAATTCAGGAAGAAACATGCAAATTGAGGACTTACACACGTCCTAGACGGGGCCAGGGTTGAAAAGCCGCGAAGCGGTTTTTCAACCCTGGTGTGTCTGCTATTTTCGATAAGTTAAAATTAGCTCCAACTTACCTGCGAATAGGAAAGATACGGCCTCAATCCTTTCATGTGAGGCGGGGTCCGTTTTACGATCAGCCAAAGTGCAAAGAAACCTAGAGGATAGCTTAAAAGAGGTAGGAATTTTGTGTAGTAATCATAGAAATAAGGGTAATAGTAGTAGCACCCGGATGTCAACGGATTCGCATATAATATGAAGGTCTAGGTAAACAGGACAAAAATTTGGCTGGCGGGGTGCAAACAGGTGTTCCCATTGCAAAAATCGAAGGCGCATCGTTCTGAATTCGGAATGCGCAGCATCAGCACGCTTCTTGACCGTAAATAGTGAATAATTACAGCAGGCTAGCAGAGAATCCTGGGATTTGCGGACTGATAGAGCAACGCTCTCTCTCTCTCTTCCTCTCTCCCGCTCTTTCGTTCTCTGTCTCTCTCGCTCTCGCTCTCTCTCTCTCTCTCTATCCCGCTCGGCCTTTTGCGGCGATCCAAAAAATGACAAGAGAAGGGCAAGCCAGCAGTTTTCTTGAGGAACACCAGTATAATTTACTTATAAATTCTTTATATTTTTTTCACTCAGAATCCCTAATCTACATATTCATGAAATACATACAGCCCTCCTAAATGCATCATTTCGACTAAAAGCCGAGCCACTTTCAGTCGATTTTACCCTCGTCTTGAAGCTCTAAAGTCGACTTCGGCTTCAACGACGAATCCCACGACTGCAAGAAGTTCATCCCGACGATGCCGTGGCAACCGGTGAAGTATGGAGGAGGTATTCCGGCCGATGGAAAAGCCGGGGACACGCCGGTGAACACGCTGGAGATGGAGTCGGCCCCATTCCAAACGCCCGTCCACACCGCTGAGTATCCGACGACCGAGGATGAGGGAGGTGAGAGAAAACGCGAGAGAGTGAGAGAGAGGGAGAGAGAGAGGAGAGAGATTAAAAATATTAAATCTGTGACCACTCGTTCAGAACTCAAGCCACCACAACCCCCACCGAAGAACATTGACGACTTCATGCGTTTCGGGCGGCACTCGTTTTTGTTTGGGCTGATGTTGGAGGTAGAGAGAGAGAGAGAGAGAGAGAGAGAGAGAGAGAGAAAGAGAGATGAGACAGGGAAAGGGAGAGTGAGAACGAGGGAAAACATTTCTTTTCAGCTAGTGATGATCTCCGACTGTGGCAATTTGCTGTTCATGATTTTTGGAGGTATATTAACGTTTTATTAAGTTTATTAATTCGGATTTTAAGGAGCCGTCCCGAAAATTACCGGCTGCACAGATATTGGCCACAATATCACGGCGAACTGGAGTCCAACCGATTTTTGCGAGGCTTACCATGGTAGTTTTCTCTCTCTCTCTCTTTCTCTTTCTCACTCTCTCTCTCTCTCTTTCTCTTTCTCACTCTCTCTCACTCTCGCTTTCTCGTTTTTTCTCGCTCTGTTGCCGGTGCGCCGACAAAGATTTTCTTTGAGGTCGAAAAGCGAATACCCCCAGCTGCAACCCGATCATCGAGCCGGAATTCACCTCGATCAACGTCGAGGTACTGTAGAATCCACAGAATTCCAAAAGTGCCCTATTTACAGTTCGGTTTGCTTTGTGATGATGCCAACGGGATCAAGGAGAGCACATCAGTACAGGTGAGAGAGAGAAGGCGAGAGAGAGGGAGAGGGAGAAAGAGAGGAAGCGAGTGAAAGAGCACGAGAGAGCGACGAGTGATCTACCTAATTTCAGATGATCGGCTACGTGGTCGGCTCGCTATTCTGGGGACAGTTCTCGGATATGTTTGGCCGAAAAATGACGATGATGGTGACGCTGATCGCAAATGGGATCCTCGGCAGCATCTCCGGCTTTGTGCCCGACTTGACGACGTTCACCATTCTGCGCATCTTCATCAGCCTCTTCTTCACCGGGCACTTGGTGTAAGCCAATGGAGTTAGAGAGATATAGAGCGAGAGAAAGAGAGAGAGAAAGAGGGAAAGAGAGATAGAAATTGCTTTTTCAGCATCGACATGGTCTATTTTTGCGAGACGATACCAACAAAGCACCGTCTCTGGCTGGCCTTCGTCCTCAACTGGTCCCCGAATTTCATCGTTGTCGCGATTATCGGTAATTTTCAGAATTCCTTAATTTTTTAAAGGGATGGTAACAGTGGATTGAGCCCGCTTCGTTAGAAATCTGGTAGTCGCTACCTCTTTTAACAGCCTTTTCAGCTTGGTTTTGCGGTGATTGGCGCGTCTTCTCCGTGGCGCTGAACGTCATCTGCTTTGCGGCTGCTGGGTTGATGTGGTGCGTATCCCCGACTTTTTTTCCAGCCTTTGGAAAAGTTTAAATTTATATTTTAGTTTCTGTGCCGAACCCCCACACTGGCTCCTTCGACAAGGGAAAATCGACGAGGCTCGAAAAGTGGTGAAGTACATCTACAAGGTGTGGGAATAGTGGCAGCTTTTTAAAGGAAGCTTTACGCAGAACAGGAGCAGCTAGATAACGGAATTTAAAAACAAAAATTTATACGTATTTTCCATGCTTTTTGTTGGCACTGTCCCTTTAAAGTAGCTTTTTCGAAATCTTTTCGAAAAAGCCGCCAATTTGACGCCAATTTGTATTTTAGTTCGACGGCGCCGAGCTCGACGAGGAGTCCCTTGAGCAGATGCTGGTGTGGGAGCAGCGAAAGCTAGAGGTATCGTTTCGTAATTTTGGAGTTACTGAGGTACTTTAAAGGGACACAGACACCACAAGCCCATTTTTCAGCTTCTCCCAAAAGAGCGCTTCTGGTTCCCGCACCTCTTCTGCACGTGGAAGCTGTGCGGCTACACTGCCGCCGTGTTTTTGAGCTAGTGGGATTTTTGGGAGTTGTAGCTTGTAAGGGCGATCTAGTTTGTAAGGTTTTTTAGGAACTGGTTTTTTTGTGATTGAGAGTTACGAGGTTTTCCGCTTTGTTTTTCAGCTTTCAAGCCTCGTTCGTCCAGTACGCGCTGTTGTTCAACATGGAAGACATTGGAGGATCGGTAAGGGAGAGACAGAGGGAGAGAGAAAGAGAGATATATGGAGAGAGAGAAAGAGCGGGAATGATTTTCGCTTTTTTTTTAGATTTTCGTGAACACGATGGTGATGGGCGTGCTTCGCGTCGTCATCAATCTCTTCTCGGCGGCCGGCGACATCTTCTTGCCCTGGCTCGGACGAAAGGTTTTGGAGCCTTGCACGTCCCTTTAAAATCTTGCATTTCCAGAAGGCCCACAAATTCTTCTGCCTCTACAGCGGTGTCACGCTGGTCATCGCGCTTGGGGCTGAGATTTTTGGTGAGAGAGAGAGAGAGCGAGAGGAGCGGGAAGAGAGCGAGGGGCTGCATAAATTCAGGGGTTTCTGGGGATCTCCAGGCCTCACTTGAAAATTCAATATATAGTAGCTAAATACGTAGCTAAATAAAAAAGTAGTTATATACCTACTGCTAAAAAGTGCAAAAAGCCTACGACACTCGGGATTCCCAAGCCGTCTCCGATCCAAGTACTAACCGAGCCCAACGTTGCTTAACTTGGCAGATCGGACGGGATGCCGTGCTTTCAACGTGGTGTGGTCGTAGGCGAAAGGCCGACTGGGAGGGAGGGTGAAGTGTTAGGGGGCGGCCCGGGGGGGGGGGGGGCCCCAGAGCAGGCGAATCGACCATGAAGGTAGTGGGGTATCAGCCAGCAGTACTCGCTTTTGGGGGTTGCCCTGTGGAAGACTGCTCTGTTGGGCAGGAAAGCGGCCCCCCCCTCCGCCTTATTCCCAGTTTGGGTTGCTCCCGAGACCTACTCAAAAGAGTGTTTCGAACAAATTTTGGAACGCATTCCCACAGGGAGTGCACAAAGAAGTTCAGGAATACAATTTCCCCGTATTCCACTTACCTTTAAAATATTAGCTTGTTTCTTCTCGCATAGCAAGACGACAAAGAGAGAGAGAGAGATAGAGAGAGAGAGAGACTATCGCATTTTTCTAGGCGCTTCCGGCAACTGGTCGAACGTCATCCGCTTCATGCTCCTCTCCACGGCTTCTATGGTCTGCCAAATGTTCGCCGTCGTCAGCGTCGTGTGCAACGAGGTCAGCTGTCTGATTCTAGCTAAAATTTCCATCCAGATTTTCCCAACCCCCATCCGCAACGTCGCCTACGCAATGACGCAGATCGCCGAGAGCTCGGCTGCTGCGTTGGGGCCACTGGTTTTTATCTTGGTGGGGTTTAGTCAGATACACGGTTTTATGCTAATTCACCTGGGCTGTCCTGCTCCCTTTAATGCGCCGAAAGCACTTATTGTCAAAGTAAAAGGCGTCAACTTTTAGAACGGCGTCGGCCAGTGGCTGCCCCTCATGCTGATGACGATCATCGTCTTCGCCGATCTGATCGTCTTCCACTTTTTGGTCCCCGAGACGAAGGACCTCCCGCTCGCCGATGCGATGCCCGACGGAGGAGTGTCGCATCGGGATATTCAAGTACATTTCAGAGCGCTCTCGCGCTCTCTCTCTCTCTCTCTCTCTCTCTCTCTCTCTCTCTGCTTCTCTCTATCTCTCACGTTCTTTCTCTCGTTCTCTCTCTTTCTCTCTCTTTCTCTCTCGCTCGCTTTCTCTCTAAATTTAAAATTTCAGAAAAGACAACTCCATGCGCCAATTTCCAACTACCTCGTGCTCAAACGACGCCTCGGCTCCAGACTCGACCACCGTCACTTTCTACCAAACTACTGCTCAAGCTTAAATTTCCATCTCATTGCCAAACTCACTCTCCTCTGCCCACTCACGATTTATTGTATCGTTGTATTTGTAGTTGTGTTTTTTTATGTATTTTCTTGTGATGTGATCAGATTTTTACTGTGCCCGGAGAGGCGAATAAATGAGGCGAGAGAGAGAGAAAAAGAGAGAGAGAGAGAGAGAGAGACGATAGAGAGTCCGAGAGAGAGCCTAAGTGAGAGATAGAGAGAGAGAGAGCGAGAGATGGAGAGAGAGAAAGCGAAAGAGAGAGAGAGTGAGTGAGAGAGAGAGAGAGCGATAGAGAGTCCGAGAGAGAGCCTATATGAGAGAGAGAGAGAGAGAGCGAGAGATAGAGAGGGAGAGATGAACGCAGCTTTTAAAATTGGCGAATTTTTTCATCATTTCCGATTGCTCGTTCTCTGTCGCTTTCCTTCATTATAAATTATGAATGGCCGGAAACTCATCCTACCTTATATAATTTGGTCGCGTATCTTTGTGTGTGTGTGTGTCCGGCGCCAGGGAGGGCTACTTTGCATAATTCCAAAAAATACAAATTTCCTCATTCTTGAAAGTTGCACGCGCGGGTGTGGTCGGAGGAAGGGTGGGTCCGAAGGACCAACCATCAGAAAGTCAAATTTCTCATGCAAAGGCCGCATTCCAGCGCCCAAGGCCCGCGAAGCGGGTTTTGGGCGCTGGTCGCCAATAAAGAAATTTTATGAATGACTCAAAAGTGACAAATAACTTTTCTAGACAATTTTAATCAGACGCGACGGACCCCTCCCAAATAGACAAAACAAATTTACAAATTCGGCAGTTTCGATGAATGGCGAGAGCGAGTCTTATTAGCCACCAGAATTTTAGGACGTTCATTTTGTCCTCTTCAATTTTTTGGACTAAGTTTTGCGTAGATGGCCGAGGAGAAAATCGATCAATGGATGCGCTTTGGGCGGCATTCTCTACTCTTCTCCGTAATGCTTGAGGTAAAACTTCAATTCCGTTTTTGTGATGGGGAATCTTACGCTCGTAAAAATTTTACTGGTTGACTGGGAGTTCCAGTGGTATTTAAGCGACTTCCTAGTTTTTCTCAAACCTTAAGACTATAAAAAAATTTACAAAACTGGTTTGTGGCTGTCGCGACCCAGATGACAGAAGGAGTCGCTTTGGCGCTACCTGGTGTCTTTTTTAAGACAGGAATGCCGACAGAAAAGCAACCGAAAAGCAAAATGGAAGACTGGAAATAGCTAAAAAATCGGCCGTTTTTAGCTAGTGATGATCTCGGATTGTGGCAACATGCTGTTTATGGTTTTTGGAGGTGAATTGAAGTTGGAGTCAACTTTATTGAATCTAGGTGCGGCTCCAAAAATCACCGGTTGCATTGGGACTGCATCGAACGAAACGCAAGGCTGGACACAAGATGATTTTTGCGCAGCCTACCAGGCTGGGACGTGCACCCTGGAGCTCGGTATTGAGTTTGAATCGGTGAATGTGGAGGTAAGCAAAGAGAGAAAAAGAGCGAGATCGTGAGAGCGAGAGAGAGAGTGAGAGAGAGAGAGCTAGAAAGAGCGTTAGGGGAGAGCCAGAACGATCATTTCTTTGCGTTCGGAGCAAAGGTTTTTCAGTTTGAGAAACTGTGCAGGGAGGCCGATGACGTCAAGGCCAGTACGACGATCCAGGTTGTTGCGTTTCACGTCGGTCATTCTCTCATTCAGATGTGCGGCTACATCGCTGGGTCGGTAATTTGGGGCCAGATCTCGGACACTTTTGGGCGGAAAAAGGTGATGATCCCGCTCTGTTCCTCTCTCGGTTCCGCTCTCTCTCTCTCTCTCGTCTCTCTCTCTCTCTCTTCCATCCGCTGTCGACACTAATACATTCTTAGCCAATGATCGGTGCGCTTCTGGCGAACGGCTTCCTCGGGTTGCTCAGCTACTGGATACCAAATTTGACGTGGTTCACAGTGCTGCGGATGGCCTGCACATTCTTCATGACTGGACATATGACGTGAGTTTCGGAGAGAGGCAGTGTGAGAGAGTGAGAGGGACAGTGAGAGAGAGCGAGGGATAGAGAGAAAGAGTGAAGCTGACTTTCAGCATCGACATGGTCTACTTTTGTGAGACGATCCCAACAAAACATCGCCTCTGGTTGGCCTTTGTCCTCAGCTGGTCCCCCAATTTTATTGTAGTAGCAGCCATTGGTATGCTGTTAAAATATCGTATTTTCTGGGAAACATTAACAAAACAATTCGTTACCTTTAGCCTGGATTTGCCGAAACTGGAGGTTATTTTCGCTGGTCATCAATGTGTTATGCTTTGTGCCTGCTGGATTGATGCTGTAAGTGATGCAAAGAGAAATGGAAGAGAGAGAGCGAGACCGAGAGAGACCGAGAGAGAGAGAGAGACCGAGAGACCGAGAGAGAGAGAGTGAGGGAAAGAGAACAAATTTTAGGCTGGTTTCCGAAACGCCACATTGGCTCTTGAAACGAGGCCGAGTAGCTGATGCCATTTCCGCCGTAAAATATATCCACAAGGTAATTTGTTATCGATTGCATTTAGTGAATGCTATGGTATCATTGATTTCTCCTTTTGTGCCTGCTAGTTTGATTTTTCTAGTTTGATGGAGCCGAGCTGGACGAGAAGGCGATTGAAGAATTCATGGAAAGCGAAATCAAGAAACTAGAGGTTTGTAAAGGACAGCCTTAGGATGTCTAAATTTATTGACGCATAGAAAACTGTTTCTTTAGCTGGAGCCCACCGAGCGCCTCTCATTCCCACATTTATTCGCCACAAAAAAATTGATCGGGTACACGATAGCAATTGGAATGTGCTAGTAAGTCAAGAGTGAGAGAGATAGAGAGATAGAGAGAGCGAGAGTGAAAGAGAGGGAGAAAGAGAGAGAAAGAGCGAAAGAGGTAACGGACAATATCGCAAGAACTGTATTTTAAGCTTCTCCTCCTCACTGGTCAGCTACGCACTTTTGTTCGGAATGGACGAGTTCGGCGGCTCAGTAAATTTTTAAAGCGTTTGGACGAAACAGAATCGTCAGCTTGCCTTGGTTAGGTCTTGACAAGCGCGTCACACATCGGAGGGCGAGTTGAAGCTCGCCCTATTTTTCTTCGGAACCTTCTAGCCACCCATAAAAATTTAACGTAACCTATCTTTCATTTTTGTCGTTTCGTTCGCTGTCTAGACCGAGTGAATGGTGCGGGTCGATTCCGACGCTTCTTTGCCCCTTAAGGCTTTGCGATCGCTTACGGTATACCTTCGTTTCAGATTTATGCCAATACGATGATCATGGGACTGTTCCGACTCGTGCTAAATCTATTCTCCGCGTTTGCCGATCTAAAAGTGCCATGGCTGGGAAGAAAGGTTGGTGTTTTCGATTATTAAGGCATTGGCAATCAAAACCGATTTTCGCTTACCTTCGTGGTCACTTTAAAATCAATGATAAAACCTTTTTAGCATGTCCACAAGATCTTCTGCATCTACGCCCTCGTAACCTTGGGATTCGCGGTCCTGGAGGACCGCCTAGGTACCAGAGATCTGGAGTCTTTCCTGAACTATTCAAATTTGAGGGCTAAACAATTTCTGGGACATCCTTGTGCGCTACATGCTCCTATCCACCGCATCGATGATCTCGCAACTTTTTGCTGTTGTCAGTGTTGTATGTAATGAGGTATAAAGCCTACAAAAAATCACGTAATTCAAAATCCAAGCTTTTCTGGAATAGCTTCGATTTTTTAGGCATTTTCTGGATTAAGAATAATTTTCTAAACACTTTCGATATTTCTCGGTCTTGCGAAGCTTCTCGTTGCTATCGCTGCAATCTAAATAAGAATAAAAACTAAAAAATAGCACAAAAATGCTAAATGATATTTTCTAGGTGTATCCGACCCCGATCCGGAACATCGGGTATGCAATGTCGCAGATCTTCGAGAGTTCTGGAGCTACACTCGCGCCGCAACTGACCGAATTGGTAAGGAGTTTATAAGTCTATCAATTAAAGGGCACGTTCAGGGACGTTTTTGGGCAAGAAAGCAAACAGTTTGCCGCGGCCGGGGGTCGAACCCGGGTCCCTAGTCCGGGAGGCGCGGGAGCATACCAATCAGCCACAGGTGCAACCT